TATCTAGAGGTGATAAAATCATCAGGTTCTCCTCAGTACTCCTCATGCTCTGCAGATCACGTAAACCCTGCCTAGGGAACATGTCTGACTGGGAGATGCTCTCAGCTGAGCACGCCAGATGGCCTCTTCCTCCTTCTCCATCCCTGGAGTGCCCCATCCCTGGAGGGGTTCAAGGCCAGGCTGGATGAGGCTTTGGGCAACCTGGGCTAGTGGGAGGTGTCCCTGCCCATGGCAGGGGGTGGGACTCAATGATCTTTAAGGTCCCTTCCAGCCCAAACCATTCTGTGACTCTATGATTCTGGGCTCCCTCCCACTGTTTCAGGACGTGTATGTCTATACATTTGTGTTCTATTTTCCCTAATATGCAACCATATGTATGACCTTATACTTGACTTACTGTAATGACTGCTTGAGATTTAATGTTATTTTTCTTCAGTGTGTGTAAGCAAATGATTTTTTTTTCTTTTTTTTTTTTTTTCCCAACAGGAAAATAATTTACCTCTCTTCAGGACCTTTTCTTGAGTAAAAGGTAACTTAATAGAAATATTAAATTATTGGGAAGACATTAATTTTAGCTAGATGGTAACTAAAATTCATTACATCCTAATATACTAATTCTAACTGGGTTCCCATTACTAACTTTTTTTTTTTTATTATATCAATGGTAGTGATCACCAACTCGCATAAATTAACAGAGTCCCTGATTCCTAAACACATATGTAAGCGTGTAACTTTGTGTTCTCAGCAGTCCATTGAATTTAGTGGTTATTTATGGTATATGAAGTTGTATCATTAAGCAGCTGCATAAGTAAGTCATTGCAATAGGGGGGCTATAGATTTTAAGAAACTTCTGTTACCATCCTGTCTGACCTTGTGCACATCCTCAAGCAGAGCACTGCCTGCCAGCTTCATTCACGGAGCGCAAGAGCTACCAACGAGCTGAAGTGGATCACAGTTCTGTTTAGATACTACACTGTGTTTTGTTTGTTGTTTTTTTTTTTTAATTTTGCATACTTACAGTTCCATATGTTATACTGCATAGTGGAACCTTACTGCTCGTAAGGGAAGGATTAATTATTCTGCATAAATCTATAGCCCCTGGTGATAATTTAGCACATGGGGAATATATTTTAATGTCAGCAGAGTGAACACCAAGGATAAAGCTCAAAGTAGGGAACAAAAATACTGTCAGGCCCACACACTCTCATAATCTGTTTTAATCTGAAACCAGTGAACAATAGTGAATAGCTGCCTTGCACGATTATTGCAACATCTCTGATAGATGCTGCCCTGCCAATCAGAAAGGATAAGAGCTGCTCAACGTGCTATATGTATTTCTTGGTGAAAGACTTAAAATCAAAATACTTTTTCTTTATGCACAAGTGCAAGATTTTATTAAATTTAGGAATATATGCTACTTAAGGTTTTGAGAACCCCAGCAGAAATCCTACAAGATGTGTCTGTCTCAGGGTTTAGAAACCTGACCTGGAGTTGAAAATGAGTTTCAGTCATTATAGCCTTATCTGCAGGGCAGGAAACAGCCAATGCACTCTTTCTGACTGCATGATAAATACCTGATTTAGAGCATTTTTGTAAAAATTGTTTCTTTCACTTTGGTGATCACATCACATCACATCACATCATATCACAGGAAGACATCATTTATTTATAAAAATCAATTCAGTAACTCAGTTATCTATTGTGGCATTGTTTGGTTTCAGTAAGACTTTTTCCCAGTGTCAGACTGTCCTGTTTATGAGTATGCTGAAGATTTATAATTCATTTGTACTCTAGACTAGTTCACTTGACTGAAAATGCCATGTTTCACATCAGATTTTTTTTTTTTCACAGTGATTGACAGCTGTTGGAAGCAATAGGACTACTAATAGGCTTGTTCATATACAGGTGGGTGGGTGCTGTGCACTTCATTTCACTTCACATTGCTGGAGTTGTCCTAACACTGAACAATGGCTGATACTTGCAATACATGGGAAAGGCTCAATATAACTTCTCAGTAATTTAAATCAAGATTGAACTTGACTTTAGTTTATAAGTGAGTTATAAATAATTATAAGTCATTGTTTTTAATATTGCTAATCAGTCTGTCTGGTGCGTTTGGTTTAGATTTTCTCCTGTGTGGGATGTGCAATCAGCCCAGTGTTCAGGCAAGGAGATTTCTTAGACTCTAAAACTAACAGCTCTGAAGGGAGCTATTACTGAGTCAGAGAGTTAAAGGGATGGTAAAGGTATGGGGGAAAAAAAACCACCAAAAAACCAAAAAAACCAAACAAAACAAACTAGAAAATATAAAGGAAATTTCTCACAGAGAAACTACATTAACTTTAGTATCCCTGTTTACTAAAGAGAATTTGGAGAATGTTTACAAGTGGAACTTTTATTTCTCGCCAAAGTGAACAACAACAAATCTTCGCTATCAGACAGTGCTCAGCTACAGAGTTCAGTGCAACTCAGGATCCAAAGTACGATGGTATCAGTGGGGGTGTTCCGCCTCTACTTGAAACTCCTTTTACACTTGCCAACAGCAAGACAGCTGCTGTTATACAAGTTTCCAAAGAGATCTGGGCAATTGCTTATCCATAAGCCTGACGTCTGTACATAGACAGTTTGCAAAAATTATAATAAACATAGTAAATATGGTGTTTTGGGAAACAGTCAAAATGGCTTTTGTAAAGGTAAGTTATGCCTCTCAAATCTGTTGAAGTAATTAAGAAAAGCTGATGAGTCTATGGATTGGGTGAGTCCAACTGATATAATTGCTTGGACTCTCAGGAGACTTCTGACAACGCCCTTTGCCAGGGACTCTTAAAGAAGGTAAATACAGAAGGCTCAGACTACCTAACATATTAAGTGATCTGGAAAGTACATGAGTAGCAGGGTGATGACGTGCTGACGAAACAAAGCTTTTCACTGTAATAAAGACAAGGACTGGACTGTGCAGAGTTGCAAAGAACCTTCGTTAAAAAGAAGAGGGAAAAGGAATACAATACAGATAGATGCACAAAGTGAGCAAACAGGACAAAATGCTGATGTTAGCACTCATGGCTTTGGAAAGATATTCATCGGGACTGTTCTGTGGAAATGTCAGATCAGTGCCATGTAATGATTAAAAAAGCAAAGTAAATCTCAGGAATCATTAGGAAAGAAATTGAGAAAAAATACCATTATGCTGCAGTAAAAATCTGTGGTGTATTCACATCTTTAACACTGCGATTCTGGTCCTTCTGTCTCAGAAACGAATGTGTCAGAGTTGGGAAAGTGTCAGAAAAAGGCAACAGAGTTCAGAGGAACATATGGGCCATTGTCAGAGACAGGTGACTGGATTTAGTGGACCGGTCACTACGGACATTCTTATGTTATAAATTGAACATTTGATAAGTGTCACAAAAATGGTGATTAGGAAAAGAGGTTAGCCTTCCTGGAAAAAAAAAAATCAAGGAAGTAATAGTTTAGTGTGAAATATGAGACTCTTGTAGGTCCCCTTATTGGAAAAATACACCTCAAAAAATAAATCACCTCTAAAAATAAGTTTGGCTCACAGAAGGTGAATATTTATTAAAAAATCAAACATGCAAAACTGAAAAGTGTTCTTTCTTACGTTAGGTTTCAGGAACTCAAGAGAGGCTGTTTGACACCAAAGTGTTAGTGCTTCATGTCGAATGTATGATGCTCTTGCTCCACAGATTCCCGAGTGGCTCTCAGTTCTGTGTCAGATGGCATGAAACTGTACCAGTTATGACTGACACAGGCGTTTCTCCTTGATGATTGGGAGGACTCTGGCCTGGTGATTATCTTCTCAGAGAAGTCCAGCTTCTCTCTTTTTAGCCCTCACAGCATGCTTCAAATCTGTTCATGACCCATATTCAGGATCTCTTTCAAGAAATCTTGGGCTGGCGTAATGTAAGTGACATTCTGGTACTTGTGGGTGGATCTGAGTGAGAGGTCTCAAGGAAACCTGTCTTAGGATGTTTTCTTCAGGTTTGTAAAGACTTCAGGTTCCACTAAGTGAATCTAAAGAAAAGTATGGAAAGCCTGTAGATGGTATACTGTGATGCCTCAACTTCCACAACTCTTGTATTACCATTCCAGATTAAAACATTTGCTTTCTTTTTCCAGATCCCCTTAACCAGTCTATTCTTCCTCTTTTGAAGGAATCACCACTCCAGAAGCCATTACAATCATTCACCATGTGCATCATCAGGAACATCTCAGTGCTTGGAGCATGCTGTGAGTTTCAGCAACAACGCATTGAGTTCTGGTACCCAACACATGACTTCAGCATTTGAAGTCTGGATGTTGAAGAGAAAACCTGAATGGTCTAAAGGAATAAATGAAAACAGCTCTGCACTTTTCAAAAGAGGTCTTGATTTTCAAATCTGGCAGACATTATGTTTACAGAAGGAATCCGGACAGTGTTGTTTTATATCTTGGGTACTCTATGAATAAAGTGTCCCTTATAAATATAAAAAATGTGACATTCAGCTATTAGAGAGGAAGGGAAAATTCTCTTGAGAATAGCTTTGTCCCAAGCACAGGGGCATCAATTACATGCCCAGATGTTTCTTTTTCAGCCTCTCACTCTTCACTATTGATTTATGCAGCTTTGCAAAAGATGAGTTCAGAGAGGAGGTGTGAATAAAAGGTAATGAAGAATGATTTAGTCATCTGCAAGATGAAAATGAAAAACATCTAAATTGCCACCACCTATAGTACTTCTTGTATTGCCATGTACCAGAATAATGTCTGGATGATTATGTTAACACTTTGCTCTAACAATGATGTCATTGATGTGATGTGATGGAAAGTCTGGCTTACAAGAGTACCTCATCTACTGTGTAAGCTGAAGTTTTCAACAAGTTAGTATTTCTTCAAGTGTTGGACTCTAGTATGAAAAGCTCTATTTCAGCAAAAAAAGTAAGCCTCTTTCTTCATCATACCAGAAAGATTACACTGGAAAGTGAAAAGTGAAATCAGACCAGAGGATGACTCAGTATAACCATTCAGCAGAGCTCTCTCTCCAGAGCTCAGCAAATAAGTCATTAAATTTCACTGAAACACCCCTGGCTTTGGATGAAAGGACACTACTAGGACTGAAGATTTCACTGTCAGTCCTTCTGTCTGTTATAACTTTGGCAACGATCCTTGCAAACGTTTTTGTTGTTATTACAATTTTTCTGACTAGAAAGCTCCACACACCTGCAAATTACCTCATCGGCTCCTTGGCAGTGACCGATCTTTTAGTGTCTGTCCTCGTAATGCCCATCAGTATTGCTTACACTGTCACCCACACATGGGCCTTTGGCCAAGTGTTGTGTGATATCTGGTTATCATCAGACATCACGTGCTGCACAGCCTCAATCCTACACCTCTGTGTCATTGCACTGGATAGATACTGGGCTATCACAGATGCTTTGGAATATGCCAAACGTCGGACCGCTGGCCGAGCAGCGCTCATGATTGCCGTGGTCTGGATGATATCTATCAGTATTTCCGTGCCACCATTTTTCTGGAGGCAAGTGAAAGCTCATGAAGAAATTGCAAAGTGTACTGTGAACACAGATAAAATTTTCTACACAATTTATTCCACCTGTGGAGCTTTCTACATCCCGACTGTGCTCCTCCTGGTATTGTATGGTAGAATTTATGTAGCAGCTCGCTCCAGGATTCTGAAGCCACCCTCATTATATGGGAAACGTTTTACTACTGCACACCTGATTACCGGCTCTGCTGGGTCATCTCTCTGCTCCATTAATGCTAGCCTTCATGAAGGGCATTCCCATTCAGGTGGATCCCCAATATTTATCAATCATGTTAAAATAAAACTTGCAGATAGTGTCCTGGAAAGGAAGAGAATTTCTGCTGCAAGAGAAAGGAAAGCCACCAAAACTTTAGGCATTATTCTAGGAGCTTTCATTTTCTGCTGGCTGCCTTTTTTTGTCATGTCCCTAGTCCTACCAATCTGCGAAGATGCTTGTTGGTTTCATCCCATCCTACTAGACTTTTTTACATGGTTAGGTTACTTAAACTCATTGATCAATCCAGTCATTTATACAGCTTTTAATGAAGAATTTAAACAGGCTTTCCAAAGACTAATACATTTCAAAAAGTGTTCATCTTGAGCCTCCCCTGTTGTGTTACTGACCCTTGTGCAATCTTGCAGCCTACCTGGAAACTTTCTGTGCTTTTATTCCTAAAGTGTGGAGTGGTAGTTGCCATCTCTGCCGCTACCGTATGCTGTGCATGTAACTGGGAACTTCCTGACAATTTGGTACTTTCTGTCTGGAATTCTGTATCTGATTACAGAACTTGTCTGTGGTCTCTGCAGTGATCATTTGTGTACATAAGAACAACATAAAGTAAGTTTTGTAACAAGTGAAGGAGTGTGAACCAGAGAGTTGAGTTTGTATGATGATATGACACATACGATCCAATTCTGCCATTCCTTTGTAACCTGATGAGAGGAAAATGTGTGCATATTTGCAGGATGTCAGTATTTCTGCTGTATATTATTAACAATTTATGTAGGCTGAGAAAATTTCTGGAGAACAGGATCTGATGTCTACATTTTCTATGGCATGTACCCTATCCATTTGAAATTGATAAAACCTTATCAGAAGTTGTGTGACACAGCCTGACTACAAGCAGCAGGGCGCAGAAGGCATAGCACGTATCTAAGTTCTGTGGATATTTCACGAATACTGCATTTGAAGCCATGCTTTTGGTGAACAGTTGAAAAAAGACCATTTATTTGAAATAATTTTTACACATTTTATCATGAATAGAGTAGCCAGTGCAGAAATATTAGAAAATAAATAGCATGAAAATTATTGAAAAGTACCTTGATCCTATATTTCTGATGTTTAATTTTTTGAATGCACAAACTGAAACAGGAAAATATGTTTAGTGCCAGTGTGGAATGACTGGGACCTCTAAAAAGAGACAGAAGGTTCACTCCTTGGTGACAAGAAATGGGGAGTTAGAGAGAAGAGAATGAAGTGAAATATCAGAGAAAACTTTTGTAGTAATTAAGGTTGTTGGGGTGGATGTCACATCACTGTCTCTGTCAGTCTTTAAGAACTGGTCAAACATCTTTAGGAGATCACAATGTCAGGACTCTCCTCTGGGGCTGTGGAAAGTGGAGCAAGTCCCCTCTAACCTGCAGTAATCTGTCTCTGGGATTATTTCCCCCATTTGAAAGGTGGGAAGTTGGCACATGGAGGTCTTCTTTGAAGTCTTGGACAGGATAGCACACCAAGTAGTGCAGCCCAAATTTCATTCAACTTTTTACAATCTCTGGGCATTTTACAGCAGAAGCCTCATGTCCATGCTGCATATGAGCAGCATGCCTTGCTTTGAAAGAGTTATCCCATCATCCTTCTGACCACCCTTCCATCTCTTAGCCTGCCCACATTCATCTTCACCATCTACTACTGTGGCCATCCCAACACACTCCACCACAGCCCAAGTCCACCGCAGCTGAGGTCCATAGCTCTTCAGCCTCACCTTTGCATTCACTGCACAGTCCTGCAGCTTCTTCCTGTTGACGGTACCTCTGCTGTGGACTGGACCATAAAGTAATGCCCCAGGACCACCCACATGCTGCAGAATTGGGCAGAAAAGTTGTGTAGGTCACAGAATTGTTGTTCTCTCTCACAGTACACACCAAGGGCAATTAAGGCTCTCCTATTTGGGACACAGCTCCTGTCCCCTCCCAAGAGTGATCTGCTCTAGCTCAGTCCAGCTCAAGAGATTTTGCTGGTGGCAATACCTGTCCATGTCCACACAGTCTGCTTCCAGAGTGTCCAGAGTGCCCACTGGCAGTGGTGGTACTCTCGCCTGTGCTTACTCCTCAGCTGTGGTTGTGCATTGCCTGGGGACACGCGCGCTTACAGGGGCCACAGCCGTGTTGTGGAAGGCATGAATCATTGCCGTTGTGCAGACAACTGAATTCTCACACCTGAGGCCAGGCTGTGGCACTGTTTAATTTGCTGTTATGGATGTAATCTGTGTGAAGAGGTCGTTTATGACTTGGAGCTCCAGGCTGTACCCGCTGGACAAGGATTTGGAGGAGCCTTTCTGTTTGACATTGACAAAGCAAGACAAGAATGCTTTTAAAATGACCCAGCAGCACTGCCAGCAGTGGCTGACCCCCCAGAACAAAGAGCACCCTGGAAAATTTCCTGCAGCCATATAGCATGAGCACTAGTATGAGAATGCCCATGATATAACATCCACTCATTCCCTCAGGAATCTTCTCCTGTCCCCCAACAATTTAACCTGGGAGACAGTCACAGCCTGAAGAGTGTGTACTTCCAGAAGTCAAGGAATCTCTGTAGACCCTTTTTTCACACTACAGGCAAAGGTTTGAATATCTCTGAAGTTTCCCCAGATGCCCTTTCGATGGTGTCTATCCTGCCTGCACCCTGTGCTTTCCAGACCCCTTTGTCTACTGTGCTCATCTGGCACAGCCCTGTGACCTGAGGGCCCAGGGTACAGCGAGAGTGTCACACAGCTTTAGCTGCACAAACATTCCTCTTGTACAGCTTTAAAAAAAAAAAGACCCAACAAGGGCAAGTGGATAAAGGGCAAACCAATTAAATGACAGTCAAGGTCACAGTTGGAACACAGAATGAAGATCTGGGTTCCTCAGGGACTTGAGTAAGAGAATCAAAGATGGTTTCTTTGTCTCTACTCCAGCAGCCTGGCCAGCATAGTACTGGTGCCTCCTGCTTTTCCAGCTTCTGCTGAGAGCTATAGGCTGGCCTTCCCACCATATGGCTTCATGCTGCCTAAGGCAGGGCTTGCCTTCAGCCAGGTCCCTTATGAACCACTGATTCTTTTCCCTACCTCATGTTTCAGGATGTCATGCTAGCAGTGAGTCCTCAGGTCACAGTGTTCCTGGAAAAACTTGGCAGCAAGGCTGTCACTTGGTTGTCCAAATGATGCTGAATTTTGGCCTGCATTTCACTTAGGGACCTTCTCCACAGTGTCCTTCAGGTGGCCTCATGTCTGGTTCTAACCTTGAAATCAGAGCCTTGGAGAAGCTGATGTCAACATCTCATTAGAAATACCCATAGAGGTAATGATAGCAAGTGTGTCAGTCCTTGCTGAGATCTGGGGACATGTAATACATAGAATCAGAGTAATTCAGGTTAGAGGGGACCTCTGCAGGTCACTAGTCCAAAATCCTGCTCAAAGCAGGGCCAGCTGTGACATCAGACCAGGTTAGTCAAGGTTCTCTTCAGCCTTACAAGGATGAGGATGCACAGCCTCTCTGGGTAACCTGTTCCAGCGCTTGACTGTCCTCATGGTGAAGAAGATCTTCCTCATAACCAGTTTGAACTTCTCTTTTTTCTACTTATGTCTATTGTCACTCAGTCTCCCACCAATCACTTCCTCATAGGTCCTGGGGAAGATGCTGTCAGGTTCCCTCACAGCATTCTCTTCTCCAGACTGAGTAAGCCCGATTAATTCATCTCCCTGTGTTCCTGGGTCAAGTTCTCCAGTCTCCTGACCATTCTGGTGTCCATCCATTGACCTCACTCCTTTCTTGCACTAAGAGGCCCTAAACTGCAGACAGTATTCTAGATGAGGTCTAACAAGGGCTGAGTAGAGCAGGATAATCACTTCCCTTGATTTATTAGCTATGCTTCTGTTAATATAGCCTTCTCTGCTGCCAGGGCACACCGCTGGCTCCTGTTCAGCTTGCTGTCTACCAAGACCCCCAGGTCCTTTCCAACAGAGCTGCTACCCAGCCAGTCAGTCCTCATTGCAAAGGGCTCTTCCTTCCCTGGTGCAGGATCTTGCATTTCTCCTTGTTGAATTTCGTAAGGTTCCTGTTAGACCCCTTCTCCAGCCTGTCCAGAACCCTCTGAATAGTGGCTCTGTCCCTGAGTGTATGCACTGGACCCCCCCAGCTCAGTGTCATCTGCAGACTTGAGTGCGCTCTGTCACCTCCTCCAGGCCATTCATAAAGACATTAAACAGGACAGGTCCTAGGATAGCCCCCTCCAGTACTGTGCTTGTTATCAGGCAGACCACAACATCCCAAAGTGGGTAAAAGGATATTGTGGGAGTTTGTGTAGAAAGCCTTGGTAAATTACACTCCTCCCTGCTCATTCACAAATCCAGTAAATCATAGAATCATAGAATCACAGAATGGTTTTGGTTGGAAGGGACCTTAAAGATCACTGAGTTCCAACCCCCTGCCATGGGCAGGGACACCTCCCACTAGCCCAGGTTGCCCAAAGCCTCATCCAGCCTGGCCTTGAACCCCTCCAGGGATGGGGCATCCACAGCTTCTCTGGGCAACCTGTTCCAGTGTCTAACCACCCTCACAGTGAAAACTTTCTTCCTAATATCTCATCTAAATCTACCCTCCTTCAGCTTATAACCGTTCCCCCTCATCCTGTCCCTGCACCCCCTGATCCAGAGCCCCCCCATCTCTCCTGTAGCCCCCTTTCAGCACTGGGAGGTGCTGGAAGGTCTCCCCGGAGCCTTCTCTTCTCCAGGCTGCACACCCCCAACTCTCTCAGCCTGTCCTTGCATGGGAGCTGCTCCAGCCTCTGACCATCTTTGTGGCCTCCTCTGGACTCACTCCAACAGGTCCATGTCTATTTTATGTCATGTGGGCCTGCGTCAAAGGCTTTGCACAAGTCCAGGTAGATGATGTCAGCTGCCCTTCCCTTATCCACCAGTGCTGTGGCCCCATCGCAGAAGGCCACCAAATTTGTCAGGCACGATTTGCCCTTGATGAAGCTGTGTTGATTGTCACCAATCACCTCCTTCTTTTCCATGTGCCTTAGCATACTTTCCAGGAGGATTCGCTCCATGATCTCACCAGGCACAGAGGTGACACTGACTGGCCTGTAGTTTCTTGGGTCTTCCTTATTTCCCTTTTTAAAATGGGGGTTATGTTTCCCCTTTTCCAGTCTGCGGGAATGTATCACACAAGGCAATCAGACCGATCAGGCATGGTTTACCCTTTGCAAATCCATGCTGACTGTTCACCTTCATCTTCACTATGCTCTTTCTCAGATCCAGCCTGCCAATGCAGTACAATTGAAGGCTGCAACTTTGTCGTTCTTTTTCAGACTGTGTTCCAAAATTGGTTAGAAAA